CTGTCAGAGGCCAGTCACAGAGGACTCCCGCCACTGCCACCATTCATCTCCAAGAAGACCTCCCATCCAGGGCGGGGGAACCCAGAGAGTTGCAGCTGCCACGTAGCCCACCGCACCCACAGTCCTCATTCTGCGAGCGGCTGCCGTTTCCCCAGCACGCACTGAAGAGAGCAGTGGGCTTTGCAGCTGCTAACTCAGCAGCCATAATTCCATTCCACGTCCCATTTCCATCACGTCCGTAGAACAATGCAGACCTGGAGGGAACCGGGGAATCGCCGGGCCAAGGAGGCAAAGGCCCCGCTCGCTTCCTGTTGTTGCACTGGCGATGGAGACCTGATCCAAGTGGCCCTGTGGACATTCCAGCGGAAAGTTCTCACCAAACTCGCTGACCAGTTGCCCGGCACAGCACCTCGTGCAGCCCCTGCAGAGGTGGTTTCCTGGAGAGTTCCAGACTTCAGCCTCCTATCTGAAGACCGCACGTCTCAGCTTGCTGGCCAGTCCCTGGCAAGTCCCCAGCCTCTTCTAACCACTTCCAGACAAAAGATGACCAAGACCCCATAACAGTCATATCACAGACTGGACGGGCCTTAAATGAATGACCACACCAGTGGTTTGCACACTGGGCTCCATGGACCCTCCTTCGGTACTTCAAGGAAATAGTAGAGAAAGATGACTGGGGGTGTCTGCTGATACTGATTGGCTGACCTCAGGAAAATTGTTCTCTAAAGAAAGTAATTGGCTCAGCTGTAAAATAGGGTTGTATTACCTGCTTCATAGACTTCTTAGGAAGGCAGGCTGGCAGGCATATGAGGCATGTCGTGCACTCTGAGATACTCATTTTGGGTTTGAAATGAAGAGTGATGACAGAGAGGAAGAGGGTGCATCAGGAGACGGGTCAAGAAACAAAGCCTAGAAGCACCCCGTGGACGCCGTGTTCCAGGGCCAGTGTGTCCCCTCTAGGCGACCATAAGGTACTTCTCTGCCCCCACATGCTGGTGCTTCTCATGGCTCTGGGCAGCTGAGCCTCCTTCCCAGACCCAGGTCAAGCCTGTCTCCTTCTCCCTGTCATCTCCTTTGATCTAGACGAGGGCACACTGTGGAAGGGGAAGGAATGACATGCAGGACAGATGTGGGGTCTCGCGCCTGGTGTGGTTGTACAGCGTCTTTGCTCACCCTGGTAGTGGACACGGTAACAGTGACAGGAGAGGTGTGTCAACCTCAAGTTGTCGCTGGTTGGCACTGAGTCATCTCCGCCTCATGGTGACACCATGAGCAACGCAGGGAAGGTCGCTCGGTCCTGAGTCATTGTCCCGACTGTTGTCTGCCCCACAGCGCCTGTTGTGTGCCTTCTGAACCAGGGGCCTGTCTTCCAGCACGACGTCACACAACGCGCTGCAATGATCCATGGCGTTTTCCTTGCCTCATTTCCAAAGGGAGGTTGACAAACTTCTCTTGGTTTATCACCTCTGATGAAACCTGTCAACCACGGTTAAGTCTATTGGTATTTGAAATAGCAGTGACACCAGTTCTAGTGTCACAGCAGCCCCCAGAACCACACACTGAGAGATGAGAGGTGGAACCTGGTCTGGGGGACCGTAACTGCTTCCGTTCTACAAACGGAAGAAACGAAAGGGAGAGAGAGTAGGGAGTGGCCACCAATGCACATCTTGGAAGCACTGGCCATTGAAACCCGCCCCACAGCCCACCTTCTTACCTACAGATGTCTCTGTCCCACTTACGTCCCCTGGGGTGGCTTGTGACACTGGGAGCATGTGGCGTTGGTGGAGGGCCTGACTGTGGTGGTGGGGTTGGGAAAGCGCACTCGCAGGGCACGTTCTCCCGGTGAGACCTTGGCTCTCAGGAGGGGAAGGAGGCGTCTAGGTAAGAGGGTGTCCCTTGGAGTTCACAGGGGACTCTGGTTTGAAGCTTCGAGCGTACTTAGGTCCAGCTCCTCCCGTCACACTCGGGCCCGTGTAGGCTTTTCTTTTCCCTTGTGGACTGTGCTATTAAAAGAATGTCTCTGGAGGGACTAGCTGGGGTGGCTCACTCATCGGGAAAGGGGAAAGATGGAGCAGTCTTCTTTACGGCAGCCTTGGAGACCCTGGGACCCTGTGGGGCAGTTCTCCTCTGCCCTGGACGGTCACTAGAAGGCAGATCGCCTGTCCAGGACTTAGGGCAGTTAAGACAAAGAAAGGAGTGGTCACCCTAGCCGGCGACACTCTGAGTCCTGTGAGTATGGCCACGCTGGTTTGGAAGGCACTAAGCATACCCAAAACCCACAGTAACGGGCTTGACCGTCCCAGCAGGCGTGAGGAAGGCTCCCAGCCAGGCGGTGCTTTGCTCTGTTGGACGTGGACGTGATGGCAGGTTACAGTATCAGCTTCTGGAGGGAAGAAGGGCAGAGAAGAACAGGTGCAAGGCTTTTACAGAAAACAAGAAAAGTCTTCCATCTAAAGCTTCCACGACTAGGAGCCTGACTGCACTGGGACAGGCACACCAGGCTTCTGGTGCTCGGGTGAGGGTAGGGGAGATGGGTCCATGCGTCATGGGCCTGGGGAGACCCGTTCTCCTCTCTCCACCCCCAGACTGGCTCCCCTGAGGCATGGAGATTCATGTCTAGAGAGAAGGAAATTCGCCAGCCACGTCCTTTTCACTGAGCAAAGATAACCCTTGTCACTTGCGAGAACATTCAGAAAGCCAAGTTCACAGCTTTGGAATTCACCAGATGAGCCAAGGAAACCCAGCCTGGTTCTCAGGCCCTTTTGGAAAGCCATTCCAAGTCAGCTGGGAAGCGGACCAGAGACTTGTTCACCCAAAGGTGGTCGTCTTCTTCCCTGGGAGTCTGACGCTTGGTGTCTCCACCCCACTGCCTCAGAGGCACGTGGAGCCCTAGGTCCACTTTGCAGGTGGTGAGGCAGGTCCTGGCACGGCTGGCAGGCTGGTCTGGGAGAGAACGCGGAGAGGTTCCATCTGTACGGCCACCTTCTGAACTAGAAGTGCAGCCTCTTCATCTCCTTAGCCAGCTTAGAGATTCAACTGTGTTTCCCCTAATATGTATTGAAATCCAGATTCCTGTGAGTGAGTAAATGCAGGTCGGCGTTTATGAGTAAGGCCTTACTTGGAAGTAATAGGAGCTCATAGTGGAGTAGGGTGAGCCTTCTCCCCTCAGAGTGGTGATCTTAGAGAGGAGATGGAGACAGAGGGAAGCTGACCATGTGAAGACAGAGTTATGCTCTAACTACCTCCCCCCTAGAGTGCCTGGAATCACCAGAAACACTCAGAGAAGAAAATATCATCCTCTGAAGAATTAGGGGGGAAGGTGGCCTTCCCCGCTGAGCCCTGACTCGGACTCCTGGAGCCCAGAACTGTGAGAAGACGTTTCTGTTTTCCTAAGCTGCAGGTCCAGTGGTGCTTTGTTATGGCGGCTCCTTGAAAGCAAGTAAACGGGATACTCGCCCGCGGAAGTCAGACCTGGGCACAGTCCTCTGTGTCCACTGGCCAGGCCCTCGCCTTCCTTCTCAGTGAACACAAGCTCCAAGTATCTCGTCACCGGGCGCTGTGACGGCCAAGGCAGCATCCCCATTAAAGAGGTCCTTGGTAACACAAATAGTTTGCTCCTGGGTCCTAATGATGTTGGATGCTCTTCTTCCCCTAGAAATGCCACAGAAGAAGGGCCGGGAGATCCCTGCAGCCCAGAAAACCCAGTGCTGTACCGTTCTACCCTGGTGACGCAAGGTCCCCAGGAGTCGGGTCCACTCAACAGACCAGGCCAGGCTTTGGCTTCCTCCCTAAACGCGTGTCTCACCATGATGCGGATCCAGACGCGCCTCAGAAACAAATGACATAATAACGCCTATTTCCTGCTGGAAACATTTCTGAACTTTGTTCCCAGACGTCAGGAGTTGGCGCCCTGTGGTTGGGGGCCCTTATTCTCTGAGGACTCTACCCTTCTGTTCGTGGGCTTGGAAATCCTAAAGACTGTTGATTCGTTCAGGAGCCAGTAAGTACGTAAGAACTTGTTGAGTGTGTGTGTACACGCACGCGCGTGCCAGCACTGTCCCAGGCAGCCTGTGTGTGGAGGGAAGGAGGCAGGTGGAGCCTCGGTTTTCATCCCATTTACTTTCCAGTGGGGGCACCAACATTGAAGACAAGATGTGTGATGACGTCATGATGGGCAGCAACTGCCATAGAGTGAACACTCAGGTCTGTGCATACCTCACCTTCCCCGACTTGACTGTCTATGGCTGTGACCAGTAGCTTCCCAGAAGGGGTCAGGGTGTGCAAACCATGGTCAGCTCTTCTTGTGTTCATGACATAGACGTGTGCCCTGATTATCACCTTGATTCTGCCCCGTGGGTTTGGAGAAAGTGAAGGGATCGAGACTGAAAAGGGGACAGGTGGTATTACCCTCCATTATAGCATCTCCAGGAGGATAGATCATTCATCTCACTGACTTCCACCCTTGAGCGCTGAATCCCAGATACTTGTGATAAGAAAGCTGAGTCTGCCTCCAAATATCACATACATGCAAAAATGGTTACTAATACTTTGACCCAGGAAGCGATGGCATGGGGGGGTGGGGGAAATGACTGGATTCACAGTCTAGATGGACAGGGCCAAGTCGAGCTCCAAAATCCAGCCTACATAGCAAGATCTTGTCAGATTTTTTTTGAAACTTATATGTAAATATGATAAAAGTGTGCTTATTAAACAAGGTATATGTCACATAGTTTTCCTGGGAGAGGAAGAGGTGGGATAAAAGTTCCCTACAACCCTGATAAGGGGTCACACTTTTCCACTGGCTGTGCCATGAGCCGCTTAAGGACAGGAAGAGGATGGGGGTGGTGGGGGCAGACACATTCTCTCTTTAGATTCAGATACCAGTTTTCTTGTTTTGTGGGGGAAAGAACAACCACAACCAAAACCCCTCTAAAGTGAAGATAAAGCACACACACACAAAAAAAGGCAAAGTTGTTGAGATGCTTTCGTCAAGGTTAAAAATGCTACAGAGAAGATGTTCCCTGTGCTTTGTGGAGTTTCTGATTGCTGTCATCACCAACACCATCTATCACCTTCATCATCATCACCGTCACCACCACCTTCATCACCATCAGCACCACCGATGTTATTATCACCAACTCCATCTCACTATCACCTTCATCATCATCACGGTCACCACCACCTTCATCACCATCATCACCATCAGCACCACCGATGTCATTATCACCAACTCCATCTCACTTCACCTTCATCATCACCACCATCACCAGGACCATCATCACCATCTCACTATCGCCTTCATCATCATCCTTATCACCATCACCACCACCTTCATCATCATCCTCAACGTCACCACCACCTTCATCATCCTCATCAACATCACCACCACCTTCATCATCCTCATCAACATCACCACCACCTTCATCATCCTCATCAGCATCACCACCACCTTCATCATCATCATTCTCATCACCGTCACAGTCACCTTCATCCCCATCAGCACCATCAGCACCACCGATGTCATTATCACCAACACCATCTCACTATCACCTTCATCATCACCATACTCATCACAGTCATCATTACCACTGTCACCAGCACCACCACCAATCACCTTCATCATCACCATCAGCACTGTTATCACTACCATCACCATCGTCACCAGTACCACCAACGCCTCCATCACTGTTGTTAGGAGCTGTCGAGTAAGACTCAGGGACCAAAGGAACAGCAGCCCCGATCCCTGTCCTCTCCTGTGCCTCCTCACCATCTGTGACACGTAGTGCCCATTGCTACAGTAACTGTCAATCCATCCCATTGAGGGTCTTGCTCTCTTTCACTGACCCACCACCTTTCCAAGCAGGAGATCCATTTCTAAACAGCCTCTCCTAGCAACATGACCATCTTGGCCTTCTTTGCCTCCAACTCTGGCTGCACTTTTTCTAAGACTTGTCTGTTTGTTCTTCTGGCTGTCAGTCCATGGTCTGTTCAACCCTCCAACACCACAACTCAAAGGCATCAATTCTTTCTATTATCATCTTTACTCATTGTCCAGCTAGCAGATGTGTAACAAGGGACTGGAAAAGTCCATGGCCTGGAAGAGGCACATCTTAGTCTTCAGGCTGACATCATTGCTCTTCCGTACTCTGGAGAGATCCCTGCCAGCCACTTGCCCAGTGCAATGTGTCCTGATCGCCTGAGTGTTGGTACCAAGGATATTGATCGTTGATTTAAGCAAGGTGGCAGTTTCCATCCCTTCTCCATCTATCACCTCGCTGCCTGTTGACCTGGAGGTGAGGACTCTTGTTTTCTCGCTGTTTGAGGCCATGGTCCTTGACCTTCATGGCTGGTGTCGTCGGTATAGCTGCTATGGTTACTGCCCACCAAGCAGCCTCACTAACCGTGTGATTGTGAAGCTGCCGGAGCTGGGTCGCCAGGGCAGGTGGGGGGGGGGGCTGTGAATCGGCGCTGTCCTGTTGGCCCCTCACTGCACAATCATAGGTGGCCAGGAATGCGGCGTTTTATGTACCAGCTGGAGCGTCACCTCTGTCCCCGAGCTCTCCCCAGAACCTGACCTCGGCGAGTCAATTACATCTGTTTTCATTGTGCTCGGCAGCTCCTAGCATCCACCCCAGGCCAGCTTTCAGCAAAGGGTGGATTCCCATGAACTCTCCTCTTTATTACCAGCTGGTTCCGATTAGAGATGAGCCAATAAAACGGGGAGTAACACAGTCGCAGCGTGTTCCTAAATGTAGCACTTGCCCATGTGTTTTGATTTACCAGTCGGCCAATAAAACCCAGTCCTCCGACAAGGTGGATTCCATACCTCACATATTTTGCTTATTTTGATAAATACAGCTTTTCAGAGATGGACTAAAAGGTGGGGGCGGGCGCCTGGACCTGGTACTGTGTCCTGGAGTGTGTGTGAGTGTATTTGTGTGAGGTGTGAACGGGGTGTCATAAAGGTATGTGTGTAAGTTTTTTAAGTGCATGGGTGTGCATTTGAGTATGTGAGTGACAGTGTAACTCTGCTTGCATGTGGGTTTGAGGAGTGTGTGTG